AAAAATTGGTTGTCTTGGCATGGTTAGACAGCCTATTCAGCGCCGCTCCAGAAATGGTGACAGGAGTATAAAACCGCATTTTGTCTAGGCAAAAAATTAGACATCAAAATTTGATAACGAATTTACACTTCTATCGTTTCTGAGTAACATCTTTATAGAAGTAGTTTTTTCGGAAAATCTACTGCACTAAAGTAAGAAAAAAATAGGTTTTTATATACTATCGACAACGCTCTACAACATAGTCATCTTGATTTTGCTTGATTTTGTGATCATACTTCGCCAAAAAAATCTACCGTTACGTGGACTGGCCGAATTATTGCCGCTAATCTAATAGTTTTAGTGGTTCTGGAACTTCGAATACGTTCTCTAATAAGATTTGGCAGTTTATAGTATCTGATCCTATGAATCTACGTGATGAGTTAATACTATGGCCAAGTGCAGTCGTATAATATAATATCTTCATGTAAGCAGAATGAAGCTCGGTAGTGGCGTAATTAGAACAGTTGCGCCATCTATATGTTCTCTGTCGTTGGAGAAATATAGCACCTATACAATACAGTACTTTTCTTCTACAGGCATGCTTTAGTGTTTTATTATTATGTTTAGTTCTATTCCATTTTGTCAGGTTGAGATTTGTATTCGTTCTGTAGGAATCATAATTATGAAATTCTATTCTTTATTTCAAATTGGCGGGTAGTGAATTGAATTCTTAATTTAAAAATGAACGGTTCATTATTTGGGCCTCAAGTCTTCACGCTTTATTTTGATGTCTTTCTGTTGTTTACGTGAAAAGATGATTACTTATGAGCTGACTTTGCAGAACATCTGCTCATTTCTTTCCAGTTTAGAGTAAAGTAAAAATACTGCGGCTATTAGATTCAATTTAGAATTAATATTGAGCAATATCGCAGGATTGTCTGTGGTTTTAGTACCATCCAGAATTTACCTGAAGCAGTTTAATAATGTATATCTGATGATCCAACAAACATTTCTTGAATACGGCAAAGAGCCCGTATTAGCTGAAGGATTTCGTTTTGTTTCAAAAAATAAATGGCATGTTTACAATACGTATAGTGCGGCACAAATCGTGATAAAATCAAAATTTTTCTTTTCTTTTTAATGCTCTATTCGCTGTTCATGAGATGATCTTTTTAGTTTTCCAACTTCGATTACAACGGCTATTTTCTTTTGAGCACAGACATTTGATTTGTTCCAGATGTCTGCAAACGACCAATCTTCAGCACATTATCGTATCAACGGTTCAATGCTTTCACAGTTTCGAAACAAGCCAGTGTGTGTTATAGGTGAAGTTAAAAATGTACGCACTAACTCTGTTTGATCTCCGAATGCAAAGTAGGTATACATTATTTTTGTTTTTTAGATTCATCCTTCTGGTGAGCATATTGAAATTGAAGCGAGTGATAAACAAAATATTGTCGTTGTTCGTTTAAAAACACCGGTATATTGATTATACTCTTATCTTTTTTCACACAAATATTGCACTGTCAATGTTTTCAGATGGATTCTAATGCTAAAATTGTTGAAATCACCGGAACGGTGGATGGTCGGAATCAAATTGTGTGTGATTCGTGTGTAGCGTTTACGGATGAACAATGTGCAAATTTTGGTATGCTCTAGAAGCAAACTGTCAAGTATAGCTCAACATTTTCATTTTCTCTTTTAGATATGGATGTTTATAATCAAGCTGTCATGTTATTTAATCATTTCAAAGATCATTATATAATGACCGTATGAACGGTGAAGACATTTCTTTGTTCTTTGCTTATTATGATATAGAAGGAACTCATTTCATGTCAGATTTTTTGTTTTCTTTTTTTTCACTTTCGTTTTTCTTCTCTTAAGAGAAGTACTGTGTTAAAGGTTCTTTGAACTTATTTTGTATTATATGAAAATTATCATGAAATATATGTAGTAATGCATACTAGATCTTCTTTCATTGTAAATTTCTATAAACAATAATGGCGGATTTTTGTCAAATGTAAACGGTGAAGTATTTGTATCGGTCTTTTCTCGAAATTTTAAACGATATTTTTATCACATATTTAATTTATGCCGATCATATTCTAGATGGCAAGCTCTTTTATTCGTTTTTTGGCTCGGCCTGCTCTAATGCTAGAAACATGTAAGTCCTTTTTCTTGTTAAGTCAACGGATAAAAATTACAACTCAAATAAAGTTTGTTTTTGAGTTTGTTTTATGTAAAATCCGTATAGTAAAATAAAACGTTTTTAACCGACTGGTTGTCATTCTCACTAGTTGAAAAATCAGTGCGATGAGACGTAACACGAAAAATACGCTTTCGTTTTTCACAAACCAATGCTTTTTAGCTTTGTTGGCTTCAGTTCGAAATAAATCTCTTACGTCAACCTTCTGTCGTATGCAATCAACAGCATCGACATCGTCGACAAGTACAAATCTTCCTGCCCGTAAGCTTTAGATTTTTGTTTCTTTAGTCGTTGGTTAAGTGAAATATCTATTTTAGCAAGTATAATGAAAGTCGATGTTGCACAACGTAAACAATTAACAGATTTTGGTCAGTATGTTGCCGAATGTTTACCTAAATTTGTTCAAAGTATACAAATGACATCGACAAATGAACTTGAAGTACTTATTCATCCAGATGGCATCACACCAGTCATCTCATTTCTTAAAGATCATACAAACGGACAGTTTGTTTCTCTAGCCGATATAACAGCAATCGATGTTCCCACGCGTGTATACCGATTTGAGGTATGTTTTCGGCTGTTTATTCATGAAATGTCTTAAATTTTTGTTTTTGTTTTCTAGCTTATATACAATTTGTTGTCATTACGTTATAATTCACGTATTCGTCTTAAAACTTATACTGATGAATTATTGCCAGTACCATCTATTTGTGAGATATTTGAATGTGCAAACTGGTATGAAAGAGAGGTGAGCGTGTAAACATCTAAATACAATTATTTTGAAAGACAAATACTCTCCCAAATACGTGTCCAGGATTTCTAACAGGAAGAGGATCAATATTTTTTCATCCAGCAGAAGGCGGACTCATTGTATTCTTATAATTCTTATCTTTGATTTCAAAGTAAAGCAACACTACGAATAAGTGAGAACAAATTCTCACAAATAAATATCTGCCAGTCACCCCCTCTGGACACGTACATGGGCTGGCCTGACACAGAGTTCTTTCGCTCAATTTATTGAGCTCCCCATACACACTCACACATCACATACTAGCTTCCTGACAAGCCATGAAGAATAACTGGAGAAACTGCATTGTACGTTACGACGTAGTGATTATGCTGCTGCACCGGTGATCTGAGGCAGTAAGGCATAAGTAACCTGTCCAAAGTTATTAAACGACTTAGTAGTGTCGAAGTTCGAATGCAGCACCTTTGAAGCACGTGACAAACAACGTACTTGCCAAGCCATGCTGTTATTTTTCTGACGTCACGAGAATTATTTTAGATTTGGGATATGTATGGTATCTATTTTGTTAATCATCCTGATTTACGTCGTATTCTGACAGATTATGGTTTTGAAGGACATCCAATGCGAAAAGATTTTCCATTATCGGGCTATACAGAAGTATGTTATTTGATTTGTTTTATGTTGCAATCTCTGACTTCCTCAAATTTTTTAGGTTCGATATGATGAAGAAGTCAAACGTGTTGTTATAGAGCCCCTGGAACTCACTCAAGATTATCGTAAATTTGATTTGTCGAGCCCATGGGAAGCATTTCCGAAATTTCGCTCAACCCCACATGATAGTAAACAACAAAAAGTTCATCTAGATCAGCAACAACAAACACCACCATCACTTTCGAAAGATCAAAAGAAACCAGACGAAAAGAAATAAACATTTTTAGTCATTTTTTTTTCTTTAATTGTATATTTTTATTGTCCTTTATGCATACAACACTGTTTAGATTATAAAGCATGCGATCAGCAATAAAGAAAGTTTCGATAAGTATGAGGGTTGAATTCTTTAGCGATTTAGATTAGATACTGTTTGAACGGAGGAGTTTCGAGGTCATAGACAATTTAGTATATAGTATGTAACTTAATTTTGTTAATTTACTTCTAGAGCATTTACTATTTTTCTGTCAAATCATGTTCAGTTCAATAATACGTTGTATGATGACAAATCCGTCATACTATTTACGACCACTCTTACAGCAACCAATATCATCATCAAATTTTCTTCTATTAAATCAAATTCGTACTTATAGACAAAAAGATATGTTACGACGCCGATGTAAAGATTGTTATAAAGTATGGCGTTATGGTCGCTTATATATTGATTGTCCAAAACATCCAAAACATAAAACAAAAACAATAACTTCATTCGAGAAAGGATGGGAACATTTGGATTGGCGGTTGTAAAAAGACTATGCACCGTTTTTGATGTGTATACCGTATTGAATGATGTACACCGTATTGAAACGAATTTTATGAATAAAACATTTGTTTTTATAGTAAACTAGTCTATGCTGTTCAAAGTTGTTCAAGCGTTTTCTGCTGAAGGCAATTTACCTTTGTGGATCAATCTCAACGGCTGTATGATTGTCTCGAGAATAAGTCATAATATATCAGTAACTTGTAGCACTTGAACTAGCGAGCTGTCCAATTAGTTCTGAATGCAAGCAATATGGTTTGTGAATAGAAAAATGAAATAGCACACTGAAGGGTATCTGATCCTTTCTATGACATTTATACCGTTTCTAATAGGAAAACATGAGCATTGTGTGGCTCAGAATACTTTGTACAAACGATAATCTGTCGGTAAAAGAGACAGAACAGACCCGGGAACATGTCTTTAAACCGTGTCCAATTATGATAAACCTTTTCACGGCAAAGAAAAATAAGCAAGCGGAAAAACCACTTTTTTTTAATATAGCACCTCAGCACTTTTTCGGCATCTTTCAACACCCTAATCGGCACTAGGTGGTGCTTTTTCCCACTTGAACATAACGCATGATTTTATGCATGTGCTTTAAGCTTCCTTTCCAAAAAAAAGTCGATTTGTTTATTGTGTGGGTTAATCAATTAAAGTGTCTACTTTTCAGACCCGAACGATTTTTCCAAAAAAAACAAGCTTTTGAGCGGATTTTTTGAACTTTTCTTTTGACAAAAATAGGAGTATCTTCTGCAATTTTTTTCAAAGCTGAAAATCATTCCTTGAGATTGACTATAGAAAGTTCGTTTAAACCGGTGAAATACCATCAAATCTATTTTTCATATTATTTAAAAAAATGTTCACATAATAAGTAACTTATTATGCTTTGTTTTTTCCGCACTTTGTTTGTCAATGAAAAGCAGTAAGCATTGACTAGTGTTTTCAATAACCAAACATGGTAGAGCGCTAAAGTTTTTTTGTTTATAAAAGGAAGCAAAACGGTGTGACTTGATAGAACCGATTTTTTATTTTTACTTTAGTGGAATAGTGTAATATAGTTTCTAAAGTACGTCGTAGAGGTTTTGTAACTTCTTCATCGACAAACTTTTATTTTTTACTTTTACAACTATAGAAATAAAATTATGGCTCTAACAAGTCAATTAAATATAACCATACCAACATTCGGGCCATTTGAGCTAAAAAAGCATTTTTTGAATAGACTGAAGAGATCCCTTTTGGTCTATATTACCTCAGAACGTGCAAAGGATTAAGTTTCAAATTTTTTCAGTGTGTATCTGAACATAGACAATCTTTGAAAGTTCTACCAAAATAGGGTTGAGAAAGAAAAAAATATAGAGATTCCTTAAGTGTATAGAAACTACTATTTTAGAATAGAAAAAATTTCCTTCACACACTTTTTCTTCCACTTAAATATATGAAATGAAGGAAGTGTTCTATGAGCACTTCAAATCATATCTGTCAAGCGTGTTTTATTACGACCACACTTCTCGATCCTAAGCGTCTACTGGAAAGTGAAAACCTATCCTTTTCTCAATGATATTAGTAGCCTACCATGCGAACGCATTCAAAATTTGTTTTATCCACTTTAATGATTTTTTGAATATTTTAAAGGAGATAAATTTAATGTAAGTTTTCTTCTAACAAACAATTATAGTACTACAAGCGACAAATAGCGCTCACACTTCGAACTAGTACTAAGTTTTTTCCTCCTTCAACTGTCATCGTATCTGTACAAGTGCTCACCCCTTTTTTAAATCCATAAATATTTTTCGTATGTTTTTATTTTTTTCTTCAATAAACAAAAACAAAACCAAGAAAAGAATTTTTGCAATTGTTTTTTTCATAATGACACAGTATATAATTAATCGGCCACGATTAAAAAGCACAAAAACTTAAAGATTTTTTCCACAACAGCAGCTAAGAACATATCCATAAAACAACAAAATCGAACGATAAAATTCAATTTGTTCTTTTAACCACCAATCAAGAAAAATGACGTACAATAAACAATTAAAAAACGAAGACATGACAAACACAAACACATATAGTAACAAAACAAAGAGGGAGACATTGCTGTCACCTCTAAAATGATGACACTTATCCATGATGCTACCAAATATATGATTTTGTTTGAAGAGAAAATTCTATTTCTGTCGCAATCTCATATTCTCTCGATACGCTTTATTAATTTTTAAACAAGAAATGACGGTGATTTGTTTTATTTTGTTTGTTGATAAAAAAAGGTGGTTCTTCCCATAGTTTTTTGTGAAAAAGAAAATTAAAGGTGTTTGTTTTTTCAAGGCGAGGAATCGATTGATCTTCTCTCTGTGTATGCGTTCGTGTGCAGTGCATAATGTGCTTTTGGTACAATGCATGCACAGTGTTAGAATAGCATACTTAGCGGTCAGATCGGTCGATGTTAAAAATGGATTTTGATGGAACGTATCGAGAGATTATGATGATAAAGATGACTTTTAATTGCCGAAACAGATATTTTCTCTCTTTTTCTACACGCGTTGTGTGACAAAAAATGTAGATTCAAAACAAACAAAATTTGTCAAGAATAAAAAAAATTTCACGCTGATGATAACTATATATGTATGTATAGAGAGATAGAATAGAAATAGAAATAAAGATGATTAAATGAACAAATATGTTTTTTTCTCTACTCAATTTTTTTTCCACGAAACAAAAGAAAAAAGATGACGATTAAAAAAAGCAAACGGTGATGAATTTCCATCGCTACATAATGAGCGTGTGTATATTGTGTGTCTTTTATTTCATACTTTTAATTGTTGAATGTCTTTTCAATGTTTGTTTGTTTTGTTTTATGACAGATGTTATCTAGACACTGGTTTGGCTATTCGTAACATCCGTAACGGGCATGTTATCATTGCCATTCTGAAAACAAATAGTAAATGGAATTACGTCAAACTTATATGAAATGAGTGCGCTGCGAGTTTGTATGCTTAAATCTACAAGGGCGTCACTGTAACTCAAAGCAAAAAACTGTCATTGCTTGGATGCTATCTAGACGCTATTTACAAGTTGCCATTCAATCTACCAGTTACATCTCAAACGGTGAAACTTACGTCGCCATTCTGTCCGCCTCCTCGTCGTGCTCCACGAAAGAATCGACCGCGAGGTCGTCCACGTCCTCGACCAAATCCTCTTGGACCGAAACCACCTAAAATGAAATATATATTTATAAGTTCAAAAAAGTGTAATGGAAATTTGAGGTATGCGTGGGTTCCTTATTCATTAGAAATTCATAGCTGTAATTGCTTCTTACCTCTCATTCCCATACCCATGGGACCACCGCGACCAAAACCACCACGTCCTCTAAAAATTCTTGGGCCACGACCTCCTAAAAGAGATAATTGGGTTAAACTTAACTTATTTTATTTGTTTCGATATTCTGAAGAACTTTCCTCTGCCATCAGTATGATCATAAACTCAAACGTTAAAAACTTTAAGTCATTCCCATGGTATGCGAGACCATAGGACAAAAAGAACACGTTCACTTTTTTTCCAACATCAAAAAGCACTTCGAAAGATAAATACTGAAGTACCATCTGACATACCTCCTCGCATCATAGGTGGACCAGATAAATTTTCGTCAAATGGTCCCATCGGTTGATCGAATCCTTCATTGAAGCCGCCATCGTAACCACCACCGCGACGATATTGCATTGCTAAACATATATATGAAATATAATTAATTAGTAAACAATAGGTTTAGTACATCGTAGATTGAACGAAGAAAGTTCATAGTAGCAATGAATGTATCAGCTACTTCTTAACAAAAGCAATAACTTACGTGGTCTAAACCCTCCTCTTCCTCTGAATCCTCGAGGAGGTCGAGCAAATGGACCGCCACGATTTACCATTGGAGGTGGACCATAGTTGCCATCGAAACCACCCTGAAAATCATCATTATAACCACCATCATATCCATCTCCACGCATACCACCACCGCGACCAAAAAAGCCTAAAAATAGAATAGATTTAAATGAATTTATTCATTCAGTTTTAAAACTTAATGCTCAAATTCTTTAGACTATTTTAAACTACCATGCACACTCTTTCAAAAAACTGAGCAGTTTTAGGGGTAGAATGTTTACCTCCTCGGAATGGGCCACGAAATGGACCACCACGCCCTCGAAACGGACCTGAAATATTGAAAAAAAGGGCATTAGAAAGGCTATACAGGGACTAATTTTGCAAAAAAAACGTTTCTCAGAACAGATCGTTAAATTTTGAAAATGAGGGCTAAATTTCCAGTAAACCCTTGCTACTAGGAAACTATATCTACTTCTCCAAAGAATTGCTTCTATATTCAGAGGTAAAATTAAAGAGGTAAAAAGATCCTCCGCTATTTACTGAAGTGTCAGACTTATACTCTCTACGTTCTACTTTTGATTAAAAATGTATTTCTATGCAATCAATAAATAACTTACGTCCGCGAAAGCCACCACGTGTATTAAATTGTCGTCTGTCGGCAGCATATTTTGAACCTTGCACACTAATACCATTAGGACCTGTTACATTTGTTGCTTCATAACCTTTTTCACCTGTTAAAGAAAAAATCAAAACAATTTGCCTACCAGAGTACATGTGAAAAGAAACAAATTGTTTTTACCTTGAACGATATCGAATTCGACTTTTTCGCCATCACCAACACTTCGTAAATATTTTTTCGGATTATTTTTTACGATGGCTGTTTGATGAACGAATATATCTTCATCAACATCTTCACTAAAGTAGAAGAAGCAAACAGACCAATGAAGACACTTCTACTGAACAGTTAGTTTAAGCTCCTACCGATGAATGAAACCATAACCACTTTTAACATTAAACCATTTGACAGTTCCTGTCACTTTTTGAGCTAAAAGAGAAAAATATTTATAATTTTTCGTTAAACAGTATATCAAAAAACAAACTGCACTGACGTTTTAACTACTTGTTATTGGTGAGAAAAAGCTGACTGGTAACGTAGTCTTAATCACATCAACAGAAGAAAAACTCTTGTTTTAAAAATAAGTGCATAACACAACGACTATAGAATTCCAAAAAATTCTCAGTGTTAATCTTAAATGTCAGCTCTTAGTTCAAATTTAGGAAAACTAGCTAATACACGATCGCGTAACTAAAGTCCATGAGAAACTTAGCTGTCTTCTGGGACATACGCCTACCATACTGAATATATTTCGAGATTACAAATCAAAAATTAAATTGATTTTCATTCAAATTGTTCGTATAATTCTATAACAATCTTTTCAAACCGTTTGTGTTAACAACTGTAAATTGCAAAACAGTTTAGAAATTCTTTATAAGTGGTTAACAAGAACTTATATCAGTTGCAGCTCTTCAACTGGATGATGCATTGGAAAGGTCTGAGAAAAACATGGCACTTCTATTTTGTGATTCGTCTATCGTTCTTCCAACGCAACACGAAAGATAGGAGCGATAACTTTCTCGAACAATGCTTATGAAAGAATGGACTCTAAACTCATAGCACATTATATCATGAGTATTTTGTCATCGTGACAAAAAAAAAACAATGAAAAAAAATTTTCTACGGATTTTTTTCAATAGCAGTTGAAAGCCACGAAAGAGAAAGGGTTATTAATGATGTGCGTAGGCGTACCATAAAAAACTACTCATACTATAGAAAAGAACCGTATATATATTGTAACTATACTGGAAACATAAGCAACCTTTCACTTAAAATTAAGGTGAAGGGATAGCGTCAACCTATTGCTGTACACACATACGAAGCACAGTAGTATATCTATGAGTAAATGGCATAATCATCGCACCCTTCATAACAAATTTGGTTTATTCTGTTTACAACTAAAATCCCCACGGTGGGCGCTTTTTATAGGATGTTTTTGTAAATCACAAATCACAAGTATCATACATAATTCGATATATCTGGATGCGGCACATATCTACATATATCTACACACGGCTTCCTTGCTTAGCTCTTCCAGTTACCTATACAAACAGAACTTAAAGTTTCTGTTCACAGGAATATAGGGCAAATGGCAGTGTATACTAATCGAATTTTGTTTCTATTTTTCTCGAAATTCACTGTTTAGAAACCTGTGATATTTCCGCGTATTTAACAAAGTTCATCTCGAGTATGCAATATTCCAGGTTCAGTTTTTTAATAAAAATCAAATATCATGAGATCTAAAGATGATCAAGATTTGATCTTGATCAAGGGAGGAATATTTATCAAGAAACAGAAACCTGACCGGACATTCTACAAGAAAAAACTTGACTGCCAACAATATATTAGAATTTTTTGTACAAAGAAAGTACTTTCCAAACTTTTTTGTCCATTTGTCACGCAGTAAAATCTGTTTCTACTTTTTGACAATCAATTCCAAATTCTTTTTACATTAAGATTACGCTTTAAAATCTCACTAGACATAACTTTTAAATTGTATGATCGAGCAAAACTATGCTTTTTCTAATTAACATTTGATCTCTGCCTGGAATAAAGTGATGTGAGATTGCACAGACAGATGTGAACTACAAAATGGAAAAAATACCGCTTGAAAAAACTAGACATTCTGAACTCGGTGGGTAGCGCAAAAAATCAATGAACACCGAAATGCGCGAGTTATATCTCGTAAACTAAACAAGAAAAAAGATTGTTTTCTAGTATGGTAATAGGCCTTTGGTAAATAAATAAAACGAAATCAAAAATTTGAAAACGCTTCAGAGGAAATGAAACACGTTATCCTGTTTTACGTGAAGAGGATGAACGGTACAATGACTATCTATAATGATGTAGAACAAAATATTTACTCTAGCACGAAGTAAATGAAATTAACAAATATCTGTATCTGTAAAAAGATCTCGTCATGAAAGTAAACCTCATTTTCTTGTCTTATTTATGAACAAAAAAGGTAAACTTTAGCTAGAATTACAAGTAATATTATCACAAGAGAAAAATCCATGTTTTACGTGCTTTTTCGCAGCCATTTGGACAGCTCCGATGTACTTGAAGTACATAGCTTTGTATTTTAATGCATAAACTTTACTTCACTCTAGGGTTACACTAAATCCACTTAATGAGGTAATCAAATACACTTAAAAATTAAAGATTCAACTTTCTTGAATACTGCATATACTGTTAAAGATTTTTAATCCCTGCGCTATTTCTTATAGGGATACGCAGAAAACAACAAAATAAAACTTAGTTCATTTTCAGATTCCTTCTATCTCACTATAAATAACAATAAAACTTACCAACGACATCTTTACCATTTATCTGTTTTTTATCATCAGGTCCTGTTTGACTATCTTGTTTTTCTAACTGATTATTGTTATTGCCTTGTACTTCATTTGCAGACATTATTTTGTCTTGACTAATTCTTTTATTAATAATTGAATGTAATTTATTTTATTTTATGTTGTTGTTTGTTGTTGTTACGCAAATCGGTTGACCGAATGGTCTTTCGTTGTTGTAAAAGATCTTCCTCGCTTGTTCTTCTATCACATTTGACTGACAAATGAATTTTTTATTACAGCAAAGCTGATATACTTTTTTCTCTATTTTCTCTGATTCTCTCTCTTATCACGTGATAAAGAACGGTTAAAAAAAATAGTGACAAAAAAAAGAGAAATTGTTCGAGATCATTCTAATATTAGTCATCGTGGAATGTATATAAGAAAAAATGTTCTTCTAGACAAGAACGAACAAAACAACACAGAGTCTATATGCATTTGGATGACTCTATATATTTCATATAGAGAATATGCCAATTCAAAGTAGAACATATAGAGAGAGAAATAAGATGCAGCCACGTGTTGAATGTGAGGTCAGAAAACAAAGATTGATCCATATTAATTGGAAATTTCTATATTTTTTTAGTCTTATGTTTGTTAGAAAATTCTGTGGTTTTCGATACTGACTAAACAGTGGAATAACATGCCTCAAGGGCTTTAGCTCAAAATGTTTTGTACAATCGAAACCTGGACCAGTTTATTTTCTCTTATGAAACTCTAGAAATCAATAGGGTTAAGTAGTGCGTAGGAGAAAACGTACTAAGATAAGATGAGAAAAGTTTGATTTACAATTTTCTTAAAGACTAATTGAAGACTGTCGAAGATGGTATCGAATTTTGCAAACATAGTATTGCGTAGAATAACGGGTGACCCCAAAACAATAATATGCAAAATGTGTTCTCTCATACTATCTTCTGAATAAAAATTTGAAAATAAGATTATTCGATAGAATATTGTATTTGAAATTTCTGCTGTTATACGCAAAAAAAAAGTGAAATTCTTATTATTTCTGTGCCTCTCCGAAAAAGTAATATCAAATGTTATCTTCAGGTGAAATTGTTGTCGAGTTTTAAGCGACATGAAAAACATTCACTATAAAAGTCTGTTTCTTTCTTAGCTAATTAAACAAATTTAAAAGGACGCACAAATTAAATGAGCTCGGAAAATAGAAATATTTGAGCTCGGTGTGTTTAATTGGCTTTAAAAATGAAATGAGCTCAGTTGTAATAAAAGTATATTTTATTTATATAAATGAGATATTTGAGCACGGAAATTAATTTATGAAAATTAATTAATGATTTTATCAGTAGCAAAGTATATTTAATAAGAAAAAAATAGTTCAAAATAAAAAAAAGTGCTAGATTACAATAGTTTTTCATTAATATTTAGTATTTTGTTAGAGCTAATGTAACTTTCTTTGGATGACCTTTACCCTTCTTATCTGAAGTGACTGTGGAATTTTTAGTGGATTTGAGACGAGTTGTATCATTACATTGATGATCAGTATGAGATTCAAATTTAAATACTGTACATGTTATATTGCATTCTTTTTAATTTTAATTGAAAACGACGAAGATATTTTCTATATACCATACAAAGATGTGTAATAGTTTTACCGGCTTGAAAATGTTCGTTACAATGATTAGAGACTTTATTTTCTTTTGTTAAAGATTCGATATCACTTTCAGAAGTAGAAGAGAAACATTCGTGGCAAGTTCGGCGAAACATTACCAAGGAACAGCTTTAATTGAGAATATACTATTGGATCATGCATGCAGACGTATATAGTTATTTGAGCATAAAAAGCTCATCTATTTATACAAATTAAAGCAAATACTTGACAATGAAAAATGGAAATGTATGTTGTAGAAAATGTTCATTCACTTCCATAACCACTTGGGATAAGAACCGGAAAAGGTCAACTAAAGAAAGTAAAATTATGTGTAACAAAAGAGTACACGTATTAGTGAAAAACTTTTGTAATCTAGCACTTTTTTTATTCTTGAACTATATTTTTCTTATTAAATATACTTTGCTACTGACAAATCATTAATTAATTTTCATAAAGTAATTACCAAGCTCATTTCTCTCTTTTTACCGACAAAAATAAAATTAATCGAGCTCATTTGTATCTTTTCAGAGTATAAATTAATTTTCGAGCTCAAATATCTCATTTATATAAATAAAATGTAATTTTATTACAACCGAGCACATATCTCTCATTTTAAAGCCAATTACACGTAACGAGCTCAAATATCTTTTTTTCAAGCTCATTTATTATTTTATCCAATTTAAAATAGCTGATAATGCAGAAAGGAGGCGTATTTAAGTGATTTTGTATCTATTTCACCTTCTCGCATTTGCACTACTAAAACACAAAAAGCTCACTCTTGCACATAGTGTTGATATATAGGAAATAAAATTCTTAGTGTTTTGATTTAAAACTGACAATATTACAGTTAATTTTTATCCATTTTTTACATGAAACTGTAAACAACCGTGTTCAAAGTGTTTTGATACATCTGGTGCACAAAAAACATATTCCAAATATGTGAAATCAACCCAGATCGATGTGAATTATTATATGTGAAATGTAAATATTATGAAGTGCAATAACTTGATCCATCAGGTTTTAAGTGTTCCTGCGTCTTTTTTTAAATCATACATATGTGTCTAATTTTTCCTTTTTTTTCGACTAAACAGTTCTGTAGAGCCAATGTTTCTCTTTCATTGTTTTTTCACTTTCAAGTTTTTTTTTGTCTTTTCAAGTTGTTTTCCACCTTTGGAGAATGTATTTCAAAAAAGTTATGCTCATTTTGTTAAGAGGACTAAAAAAAAGTGGAAAAAACCAGAAAGGATCCCATAAAAATTGCAGAATAGATCTGTATACTAAAATTTCAATAAAAGTAGGAGAAATTATCCCGGGTTTAGCAAAAAAAGCGAGTGTAAAGAAGCCTGTATGGCGTTGAAATATAAACAATAGCAATGTGTAGTGGTCATATATTTTTGCACACTTTTTTCACTCACATCACTTTTCACTATTACTACCACCATTAAACAAACTATGGCTCACAAGCCATGGCTATTAGTTTCTACGTGTGCAAACGAAACTGATTTATTAAATTAAATATTGCAAAAATCGAACTGTACAATTCATTGCTGGTTTATCAAAATAAATGTTTACAGTACCGAAAATGCGAATATCTCTGTGCGAATATAAATTGAAAGCTAAACAATCTTCGGATAGTATTTTTACAATTTATGCATCAAATTCTCATTTTCACAATGAACGTAACGAAACCACACGTGTTCTATCTCCTGTGCGTGATAATATTCGTCTAATGTATGAAAAGGGTTTGACGAAGACTGCATTTATTTGTAATAAAACATAAGAGTGTTAAAAATGTATAGAGAAATCAGCGAAGAGTTTTGGAGAAGGGGATCTTATGTGACCACTACATACGTCAACCGATATCAATTCTGTTGTTGACAGAAAGAAAAAAAGTTTTCCAGGATCAATTCTGCACGATATAATGTGCTATGAATTTAGAGTCCATTCTTTCATAAGCATTGTTCGAGAAAGTTGTCGCTCCTGTCTTTCGTGTTGCCTTGGAAGAACGATAGACGAATCACAAAATAGAAGTGCCATGCTTTTCTCAGACCTTTCCAATGCATCATCCAGTTGAAGAGCTGCAACTGATATAAGTTCTTGTTAACCACTTATAAAGAATTCCTAAAATGTTCACTAAATTAGATTAACTGTATTATTTAGCATACCCGAGATCTCGAATTACTCAGCGAACGGTGGCTCGTACATTTCTGAGAAAAAGAATGCCAACTAGAAATCCGTTTATCTATCTCGATAATGTGTTTATCATTAAAAGCCGCCTTTATATTTATTTTTCTACTAGAAACAGTAGTTGAATTCAATTCAGATTGGTTATTTCCTCATAGTCGATCATACAATCTTAGTATTTTGTGGAATCCACAAAATACTAAGATTGTATGATCGATTTTAGCTGATGTGCAAGAAAGTTCTTCAAGAACTTTCTTGCACATCAGCTAAAACTTGTTCCGGAATTAAAACGTAAAGTGGGTGTTCCAACAATGGAGTTCTATGATAACTTTCTTGAAACTGAACGGTCCATTGGGAAAAACAACGCATTTTATATTGCCGATGTAAGAATGGGTGTGCTTGGTGAAATATTAATGGGCGGTGCCCAGGTTTTTCCTTCAGAATCATTGTACGAACTGCCAGTACAACAGGAAGACATCTTAGTGATCCCATATCGACTGTTGCGATAAAGTCGCAGCGCGATCGCTTATAGACTCGCGAAATTTCGCGATCGCTATAAAGTCGAGATGGAACGGGATTTTTCCTATATAGTCGCTACTTCGCGACGCGACTCCTTCATTTTTTCCTTTTAGTGGACGCGACGCTTTGTTCTTGCGATGTCGCGCAGCGACTTCTATCTTTTTTGATCAGAAAAGTACGACTTTTTACTGAAGGCAGTCGAGAATATTCTGGACTGTCGCGTCGCGATCGCGGTTCATTCGCTATTGGCGTTTGATCCAGTTATAACAACAAAAGGATTCACAATGCGTGATACTTTAGTAGTTTTGTTCTTAGGCAACGGAAAATGGGATTAATTTGTATAATAATGGTAGTTTAAAACTTCGCTGTTTTCCCAGATTTATCGTTCGTTCAGCCGATACACAGGCTGGGTATTGTAATAATTGTCAATTGGTTCTATTCTTGGCGGAACGAACGATAAATTTGGGAAAACAGCGAAGTTTTAAACGACCATTATACAAATTAATCCCATTTTTCGTTGCCTAACAGGAAAACTACTACAGTATCACGCATTGTGAGTCCTTTTGTTGTTATAACTGGATCAAACGTTATCAAGTATGTTTTTCTTTCATAAAAAATTTAGGATGAGTTTCTGATGTTATTACCTCTCTGGCTGTCGTTGCATCATGTTTTACTCGGACTTTTCTTCGAGAACATGATGCGATCACTTTTTGAAGTTTACATCGAGCCCTTCAGTACTCCACAATTTCTAT